TTTTTGCATGAAATGGCACACAAGAGGAAATGTTTACCCTTTTGGGTGCCACTTGAAAAAATATGAACATATCTCATATGTTCTAAAATAGTCAACTAATCAATAAGTGCAGGGTTGATGTGTCTATTCTACACTGACGTGACGACATCTATCTATTGTCTATTTATGCACACAAAATGACCTTACACTTACGCAGAGGTCACCACGACAACATCGTGTTACTTTGAGCTGGCCCACGACAACGTCTGCATTTGAGAAGCTGACCACCTCGACGAACGCGTTCAACAATTTTGCTTAATAAATGCTGGACACCTCATTTTTTAAAAATTCACGGTAAAATCAATTCACGTCGAATTCGGGGCATTTTCTGGAAAAAAATAGCGTCACAGATGACGAGGGGATTTTGACGGATTGTGATCTAACTCATCCTGAACATTCGGTGCAAAGCCTGCAAACAAACAAACAGAATGACCATATAATGAGCTCCTTCACAAAAAAACCAAAACAAAAAAAAAAACAACAACATTTTTTTTCATGAACTTTTGTCCCAAGTCAGAGCAGCAGCAGGCAAGTCACCCCTCTAGAAATCATTCTTTCAGTTTTGTTTGTCATCCCTTCTTCATTGCACCCCACTGGAGAATGGCCTCCACTTCTCCCTCCCTCTCCCTTTTTTTTTTTCTTTTTCTCCTCTTTAGCACTTTCCCCTCTTGTCGCGCTGCTGGAACTTCCGAAGGCGACGTCCCCACAGGTCCTTCCAAGGGACGAGCAGGCTCCCCTTGTCCGCCACCACCCCGCTCTGCCCGGGGGAGTCGTCATCGTCCGAGCCCATGAGCAAGTACTTCCTCCCGGGTTTGATCTTGGGACATTTGCAGGCGACGTCCTTGGCGCGCACCCACAGCAGCTGGTCTCCGCGCCGTATGCGATGCTCCCCTTGTTTGTAGACCGATATGATGTTGACGGTGAACTTCCACCACTCGCCCGCCTTGTCCCCTTTGAGCACGTGGACCTGCACAGCTGAGAGAGGACAGCGCAAGATGTCTTCAAGGGGATATCACATGGAAAGTGGACTTTTCAAATCATGCGTCAAGCGGTCCCCCACGTATTTGCCCGGTGACAGATTTTTGGGGAAGACGCATCCTCTGTTATTTAAATCCCACTTGACTTGAAAAACTCACCTATTTGCTGACTGGTAATCGGGCCAAAACTGCATCTCATATAAAAGTCTTGCTTTGGGGCCATTTTGTGGCATCTTGGTGCCAAGGAACTATGTTTCAGTGAGGGGAGGAGCTTCTTTTATACGGTCCAAAGACATGTCTGAGAGAAAAGTAGAGGTTTGCCGCTATTTTGTGACATCTCTGTTTCCCCCACTCGATGGGGGTTCACCGACCGTTTTTTTTTTTTTTTTGTCTAAGGTGTCTACATATCTCCAAAGCATCTACTGTATGTAACTCAGATGATTTGTTCAGGGTGTTGAACAGATTTTACGTTCATATAAATAATGTACAGACATATAAATATTGATCAGGATGTACCTGGTAACATCACGTGTTCCCAGGTAGGGCATTTGAAGTTTCTTTTAAAGGCTTCTGGTCATGATAAAAAATGATAAATAAAAGTGATCAAACCTGGATATGCTTCGAGAAGAGCACTTCTACCATGAATTCAAGACATTTCACGATAGCCGGCGATGGAGCACCACAATTTAGGCATGACTACCATCTGGTGGAGTCCACCTCACACAGCACTTATTAAAACTGGACAGTGTTTTCAAAATACAGTTGTTGTTTTTTTAAACTTTCACACCAATTCATCGTTAAATTAAAATAGGAGTAGATTTGAATGGAACTAGTCGAGCTGACAACATATTTCTTTTCAGTACAACACATTTGTGTGAGGGAATCACCGCTCTGAGGTGTGGCCTTTGAATCCCAGCGTGGCTCGGGTGCCTGTGAGGGGTTTTCTCCGGGTCCGCAGTCCCAAAACATGCCCTTGTCGATAGGCGTGAATGTGAAAGGGGCTGCCTGCTTGTCCGCAGGCGCCCCGCG